ATACCTGTGGCGGGGGGCCCCACCCTGCACTGTTTGGCTCTGGGGTCGAGTCTTTACATCCGCGGGCCCTGAGGCCTAGTCCATGCTCTGGGAAGAGGGGATAGGGGGTCCCAACCCAGGGCCCTATCAGTGGTGGGCAGTTCCCACCACTGGCTCGGCGGGGAGGTCTTCCTGAAACACGCCAAGCCCACCGGGGGTTTCCCTTCCACCTGCCCTGGGTTGCTTCCTACCCCAAACCCCCTGGCTGACGGAGACCCCACCTGCAGGTGCTGGGCTGGCAGCAGCCGTGATGTTGTCAGGCCCGACGTCTGGGGCAGCAGCGATGGGGGCATCCACAGCGGCTGGGTGGGCTGCCCACTGTGGTCGGCGTTGAGGTTGCGCTTGGCCCAGGCACTGTAGTGGCGGAGGTGGCAGGCCCAGCGGCTCTTGCTCCAGCGACTGGTCCAATGGCTCTTGCTCCGGTGGCAGGTCCAGCTGTGGCTCTGGAGGTTGAGCAGGAGTTCCTCCCTCCCCGGAGGTCAGCCGCAACTGAGGTGTCTCCCTGGCCTTTATAGCACTGCTGCGGGGCGGGGCCTGCCCAGCCCAGCAGGCCAGTTTGCTCTTCCCTTGACCAGGGCGGGGCGGGACCACCCCATCCCACAACCCAAGGGGTCAGACTATGATGACCCCAAGAACCAGCAGCCTGTGGGAGGAGAGGGGGTCAGGTAGATTCCAGGGGGGGGTTAGGAAGTGGCCCAGAGGAAACTGACAACTATCAGGCAGACCTTATAACACTTTGGCTATGTCTACACTGGCACAATCTTGCAACAGAACTATGCAAATGAGGCAAAGCGTGGAATATCGCCGAGCCTCATTTGCATATCTAATGAGCCGCCATTTCGCGGAAGAGGCTCTCGCGCAAGAAGGAACGGTTTACACTGCCCCTTCTTGCGCAAGAAAAACCCTCTTGCGCAATGCCACTACACTGATTATTTTCAGGAATAACGGTATTGCGCAAGAGGGTTTTTCTTGCACAAGAAGGGGCAATGTAGACAGCTCCTTGTGCGAAAGCCTATTCCGCAAAAATGGCAGCTCATTAAATATGCAAATGAGGCTCTGCAATATTGCATGATTAGCCTCATTTGCATAGCTCTGGTGCAAGATCGTGCCAGTGTAGACATAGCCCTAAGAGTGTGCCAGCATGTTGCAGACGGGATCCCTGCTGACCCCAGTGGCAGCCAAGGCTGCCACTGCTAGGCTCCTGGGCCAGAACGCAGTGGAGTAGGAAGGGCTCGCATCCCCCCTGCCACCCCACATATGAGGTGGCTTGTGCCGGGGGAACTGCATTTGTTTTGCTACCATGCCCTGAACTAGAGGGAAACTGTAGCTAATCATCTTATATAACCATTGTTTTATCTATTGTTTTAGTTAACCCTAAAGTAACTAATGTGTAAGGAAAAGATTTAAGTGGTAGGTACAAATATAGGAATACTGGAAGACTTACCCAGCATTGCCTGGGACCATCAGGGCAGGGGGCTGGCAGTGTGGGGGGCAGGAGTCAGAGTATGTGATGGATAGGAAGAGTGCTGGCCATCAGCTGGTGACTAAAGGGTTAAACTCAGGTAGCTAGGAAGGGGGGTGGCAGGGAGCCAGAAGAACCAATGGTAACAGAGTGCTGAAATCTGAGTTGTATAAGATACCTTGCCTGTTTTACTTTGTGTGGGAGAGTTAAACCAGGAGTTGAGAGAGACAGAATGATTTAAACTCAGGCAGGACTACCCTGTCTCCAAGGAATTTGGGGCATGGAAGTAGACTGAACAAGGAAGGGATCATGAGTAAATAAGGAAAAAAGTGAATCTAGTCATGATCAGGGTATTTTTCTTTATTTTTGTGGGTTGGTTTGAACTGCTCTATGTGATTCTACGCCTCCACTCCCCCATTCACTATCTAAGGGCGTGTCTAGACTACAGGGTTTTGTCGACAAAAGTCTACTTTTGTCAACAAAACTATACCTGCGTTTACACTGCCTCTGAGTTCTGTTGACATAATGTTGACAGAACTCAGCAGTTTTGTTGGTGGTAAACCTCATTCTACGAGGAATAATGCCTTTTGTAGACAGAGTTCTGTAGACAGCTTGACAAAGAGCATCTAGACTACATCCAGTTCTGTTGACAAAGCAAGCCACTTTGGCTATGTCTAGACTACTAGATTAGGCTACCAGGCATAGGAAAATGAAGCGGCGATTTAAAGCTGTTTGTCGGCTCAGCGTGGTAGTCTGGACACGCGGGTGTCGACATCAAAGGCATTTGTCAACCACCCAGGTAAACCTCATTCCAGGAAGCATACCTGGGTGGTCGACAAATGCCTTTGATGTCGACACCCGCGCATCCAGACTACCACGCTGAGCCGACAAACAGCTTTAAATCGCCGCTTCATTTTCCTATGCCTGGTAGCCTAATCTAGTAGTCTAGACATAGCCAAAGTGGCTTGCTTTGTCAACAGAACTGGATGTAGTCTAGATGCTCTTTGTCAACAGAAGCTTTGTCGACAGTTGGGGGGGTGAAGGGGGACTAAGGACAGGGGGCTGAAGATGAGGGTGTGTGCAAAAGTGAGGGTTGGAGGGACTCAGGGCAGTGGGTCCCAGTGAGCATTCCCTCTAAGATTTTTCATCTATGAGTAGAATGAGTTTTGTATTGTGCACCAATATTGAGGTCACGTGCGCTTGTTTGGATGTGTGGCACCCAAGCTATTAACAAATTTGTGTATGTATATAACATTTAAATGTTATGGAAGAAAGAATACTAAAACAAGGGAAAATTAACAATGTGCATGATTTTAAATGTTTATTTAATATGAAGTCAAATAAAAATAAAATTAATGCTGTGAAGTTTTCATTATGTTAGATTTGCCTCAAGGCTGCTCTAAATCTGCACTGGCCACAGTTCCATAGATATCATAGGAGGCCAAAAATAAGCCAACTGCAGCACTGCTCTAGTTTTACCTCCTGAATGTCCCTATTCTAGGAGCTTTAAGAGGGGGCACCACAGAGTCATTTCATTGGCTCTAAGCAAGATAGGGAATCCCCTACCTCCATTGGGAATAAGACCCAAGTAGGGAAGTGAGATCACTGCCATAGTTGGTATGGCAGAATGTAATAATTTAAATTACATGTCTAGGTATGCAGGCACACTACAACCTCCATTATTTTAGTTTTTAATGTAATGAGGCTATTCATGTGACCACACACAATGGCAGCTAACATAGATTGACAGAGCCCAGCCATCTGATTCATGTTTGCAGACCTTGCACATATGTGGCATTCCAAAAATGCCATGCACACCTGTATGTCTGGCTAACAAAACCAACAACTAATGTTAACTATGCGTTTGGCCAGTCAAGTGTATAATCAATATTGTGCAATTGGGTTTAGCAGTGCTCTTCTGAGAGGACTACCCAGCTTCCTCCCTCCCACCCCAGTGTCTGAACCATGCAGCACTGGCCCTCAGGGCAGCCGCCCATCACACAGCCACAGCCTCAACCCCAGCAACAGCCGCCCACCCACCCGTATCGTGTAGGACTCAAATCTTTAGTATTTGTTTTTAATTTTAGTCTCTGCCTTTTCTCCAGAACTTTTCAGTTAAAAACAAAATAAATGGCAATAATAAAAGAACTCCACAATGTTATAAATATGCTGCTGTTATAAATATGATGCAGGACTTTTTCTTTCCTTTCCTTATTTAAAATAAAGACATTTCCAAAACACACATTTTACATTAATTTTTTCTCAGTTTCAGAAAAAAACCGACATTTTCTTTATTTCTCCCTTCATCTAGTTTAAAATAAAACCCAGCAAAACCCAGAGGCTGCGTCTAGACTGGCATGATTTTGCAGAAATACTCTTAATAGAAAAGTTTCCATTAAAAGTATTTCCGCAAAAGCGCGTCTAGATTTTGCGCAAAAGCATCCGTGGCCAGTCTAGACGCGATTTTGCGCAAGAAAACCCCGATCGCCATTTCAGCCATCGGGGCTTTTTTGCGCAAAACAGTTCTTCCCTGTCTACACTGGCCCTCTTGTGCAAGTATTCTTGCGCAAGAGGGCTTTTTCCTGAGCAGGAGCGTGAAACTATTTGTGCAAGAAGCCCTGATTTTGTACATTACAAAGTCAGTGCTCTAGTGCAAATTCAAGCGGCCAGTATAGACAGCTGGCAAGTTTTTGCGCAAAAGCAACTGCAAAAGCAGATTGTAAAGTTCTTTAGGATTTTCTATTAAATAGTGTAAAACTTTTCTGTGCTCTTACTAAGGGCCCATTGAAAACAATGTCTTTTTACCAATTTTGAGACTAACTCGGCTACCCCTCTGAAGCTTGCAAATACAGAGTTAACCTTATTTATTCACCTGTGGTGAAACTGGCAAGTGTTCATTGTCCAGGGAGTTATGCCAGGAGCTAGTCAGCCTTTAACTCATTTATGTTGCTGTGTCCATGACCTAATGTCTATGATTCTGTTTTATAAATACACAAACAATGACATTTGATTTTAGTCACTAGTATTTCACAAATGTTTAATGGAGAAGGATATTCTCTCTCAATAATTTCTATTTACTGGGGCATCAAAAGTAAGACCTTAGTAGAAAAGTATTAATGATGACCTTTATTAGTACTGATTTAAATAGCATTGCCGGTATGTTTGGTTTGTGCTAAAGAAAGAATAAGACATAGAGTTTAGAATTGAACCCAAACAAACTGAAATATCAGACAAGCTTTTAGATAAGAGAGTTAAAGGAATAGTTCCTGTAATGAGTGGTTCTTAAGTAGGGATCTGGAGGGAGAGAGAAAGAAGAGCCTATCAAAGGTGGGAGCCTTTTTCATGCAAGGCTGGGAGTGAGACTGCAGTTCGGTAAATAACTTATCTGAGTAATAACATGTAGGAAAAAATCTGTTATGAAATGCAGAATTTGAATTTGATTCCATTCCTATGTTGGATGAGAGTGAAAGGGCCCCTCCTTGGGATGGTGTAATAAGGTTTATAAAGTCCCTTCTCTCAATTGGCATTTGATTTGATGCAGAATCTTCACTGCCACCTGTTTCAATTTTGGATTGGTCAGAATTAAAATAACGGGGTGTCCAGAAGGATATGCAGACAATAGAACTTCATAAGGTAAACGTACCGGGTGTTGAAATTTGATTATAGATGTCAAAAGAACCATTACAGTAACAAAATACATAATGTAAAGAATAAAAAAAGAGAGCAGAGATTTCATGGCGCCTATATGAGCCTCCACACTGAGATCTTTGAAACGAGTAACATTATTTTTCATTTTCTTGGTGTGTTTCCATAGAGAGATGAGCAATAGGGTAGATGAAACCAAGAATATGATGAAAGGGATGACCAATACAAGGATTTGCACAGGAACAAAGAAGATATATGGGATATCCTTAGCATCATTCCAGGTTGTGTTTCGTTCTAGACTTTTTGTTGAGTTGCATAAATCAAAACCAATATCACTCCAGATTAATGGCATGGTGCTGACCAAGGAAACGATCAAGGACCCCAGAAGCAGTCTGGGCACCAGCCAAGCAATTCTCAGCTTCAGCCAGAGAAAGAGGGGTTGGGTAAAGTTGGTAATCTTTACAGAGTAGAAGAAGCTAAGACAGGTGGCACACCAGAGACTGACTAAGTTTAGATAAGCCCACAGGATTCCAAATGCTTTGTGTTTGCATCCCAGTGCAGAAGTCGTTGGAAAACTGACATAGATGAAGTTGCTCAGCATTACAAGCCACTGTAAGAGAAATCTGGAGATGCTCAGGGAGATCAGGATGTGCTCACAGGAGGCCAGCTTTCTGCTTTTGATCCAGTTAGAGAAAATCACAACTATGATAAATCCATTTCCAAGATTTGAAACAAGGGACTCAAATCCCAAAAGGATCAGAGAGATGAGAGCAACTGGAGTAAGCATGTTATTGTTTTCAGAGACTGCACTTATTCTTCTGTTCTTGGAAAAGCTGCAGAAAAGGAAATTGTTACTCTTGTGCTGATCTGCTGGGATCTGTCTGGAAATGACACTGTTGGTTTAAGCTTTTTCTAAGGGTAGGAACTGCTTTCACAGGGATGCAAATTTCCAAAAAGGTTCTGTTACTGATAGTCTCATCAGTGTCACCAATGTGATGTTCTGACAGATATTTTGCCCTGTTGAATGTTGATAACAGTTCAACTGCGTATGTGTGCTGTCCTGGCTCTTGAATAGGTAGCCAGCACAGCAGACCCCGAGAAAACCCCCGATGACCACAAGTCAGATAAGGGATGAAGGCACATGGTCAGGTTTATTGTAAATGAAGCATGGTCCTAGCTCCCTGAATCAGATGTCTACAGTTCTGCTAGCACATGTGTGCCCGTGACAATGGGTACAGGTAAGTCAGTGGGGCCTTCCACTGTTCCCTTGGCTGGACAAAGACAGCCCTTCTGAGATATATAGAATCATAGAACACTAGAACTGGAAGAGACCTCAAGAGGTCATCAAGTCTAGTCCCTGCACTCTTTGCAGGACCAAGCATTAACTAGATCCCTGACTAACCTGCTCTTAAATATCTCCAGTGATGGAGATTCCACAGCATCCCTTGGCAATTTATTCTAGTGCTTGACCACCCTAACAGTTAGGAAGTTTTTCATAATGTCCCACCTAAACCTCCTCTGCTGTAATTTAAGCCCATTGCTTCTTGTCCTATCCTCGATCATGGAGAACAATTTTTCCTCCCTCCTCTTTGTGGCACCCTTTTAGGTACTTAAAAGCTGCTATTGTGTCCCATTTCAGTCATCTCTTTTCCAAACTAAACAAACCCAGTTCATTCAATTTTCCCTCATAGGTCATGTTTTCTAGACCTTTAATCATTTTGTTGCTCTTCTCTGGACCCTCTCCAATTTCTCCACATCTTTCCTGAAATGTAGTGCCCAGAACTGAGCAGAATACTCCAACTGAAGCCTATTAGTGCAGAGTAGAGCAGAAGAATTACTTTTCTTGTCTTGCTCACAACACGCTACAGCAGTGGTTCCCAAACTTTTTGGCATCATGCCCACTTTTTGATTTGAGAAACCCTCACGTCCCCCCTCCCAAAAAATAGCAGGAAAACTTGGGGTGGGATTGACGGGGGTGTGTGGGGCTGGGACACCTTGCGGCCCTCTCCTGGAAATTCTTCATGCCCTCCAGATTGGGAACCCATGCGCTACAGTGTCACACTGTTGACTCATATTATGCTTGTTGTCCCCTATGACTCTTTGATCTCTTCCTGCAGTACTCCTTCCTAGACAGTCGCTTCCCATTCTCTGGGTGTGAAACTGACTTGTTTCTTCCTAAGTGATGTACTTTGCATTTGTTCTTATTAAAGTCATCCTATTTACCTCGGACCATTTCTCCAGATATTTTGAATTATGACCCTGTCCTCCAAAGCAGTTGAAACCCCTCCCAGCTTGGTATCCTCTGCAAACTTTATAATCGTACTCTGTATGCCAATTATATATATAGTAGCCCAATGTCTGTGATTCTGTAACGCTGTAGCGTTATAGAGTCACCTCTGGGGGGCACTGTTGCCTCATGCTGTGGCACTAGGCTGAGTTCTGCGCCACTCAGCCGGGCCGCCGCAGGGGAGCAAGTGGCGCAAGTAGCCGTTTAGGCTCTGTGCTCCCCATGCTGCATGAGTAAATCTGTGGCCCCAATTTCACATACTGAAATTGGTACACACATACAAATGGGAAAATCATGTTCAGCAGATACCTAATGACCTCTCGAGGGCCCTTCCAGTCCTAGTGTTCTATGATTCTTAGTATTCTATTATTCTAATAATACCTTACAAAAAGTATTTTGCAAAAAAGTATATTCTAATTATGCCTTATTCGTGTTCATAAGCATCTCTATATACATTTTAGAGATTTGTGCATCTGTCTGTCCATGAGTCCATTTGTCTGAGAGCCCATTTGTCCCGGAACTCCTTCTAAACGGTAAGAGCTAGGACCACCAAGTGTGGTAGGCAGCTTTCTCTTATCCTAACTTAAAGCAAGGTCAGGGTTTGGTTGTGCCAAGAAAATGGAAAGTGCCAGGAATGGGACAGTTTTCCATAACATGGAAAGGGAGGGGGCACAGGGAGGAGAGACATGATGCTGAAAGTGTCCAGAGGGGGCAGCAAGCCTGCAGAGGAGTGCTATACTGCTTAGTGACTATTGGGGGCAGCTGTACCATCAAGACAGTGGCTAGTAGTGATGGGGCTCCACTGTCTTGCCTGTCAATAGACCATGTAAGCAGTCCTCTGCCCTAACTCTTCTCCCCCATCCAAGAGGGGGAGAGAAAAAAAGCCCCTGTGGCCTGGGGAGTTGGTGAGAGACAGAAAGCCCCTGACAACTGGTGGGGGGAGAGAAAATGTTGCTGGAACCCCCCCTCCCGCCCGGCCTCTCCTCACTCCCTAAGCTTCAGAATCATCATTGCTGTGTACAGTATTAAACAAGTGTAAATAATTTAAAACTTAAACTATGTGTCTTATACTGCCTCTTGTGTGCTGAAAACATTTCTCTGGACTCTACCCCTCCCTATTTACATTAATTCTTTTGGGGAAATTTTTTCACGTAACATCATTTTGCTTACAGTAGCATTTTCTGGGAACACAGCTTCAAAGTTACGTGCGTAACATCATTTTGCTTACAGTAGCATTTTCTGGGAACATAGGTTCAAAGTTACATAAGGAGTTACTGAATCAAGACAATGAGGTGTCCAGAAGGAGAAAGCAGATCTTGCCTCAGTACATGTAGAGGCATTCAAAAGGGGATAATTGTTGCTATAATGATAATACCACAAAACAGGTAAGGTAGCAGATAAGGAAAGAGATCAGGAGTTTCTTGGCAATAAGATATTGGGTTCCGTAAAATCAGTTGCATTATTTTTCATCTTTCTGCTGTGTCTCCACAGAGAGGTAGGGGGTCAGGATAAATAAAATCAAGAATGCAGTGAAGGGAATGGAAGCTATCAGAGGAAGCAGAGCAGTTAATTTAGAAAGTAGAGTTTTGGGGAGTAACGTTAGTCCAGTGTGCCCGTTGGTGGATTTTCTGTTGATTATTTCTATGAGATGAAGATTACCAACTGTATGCAATCTATGACCACAGCTATGCTCCTGGGGTCCCTAGTATCTCCTTGAGTCACCATGATGGTGGATGATATCAGACTTTCCCCATACACTGATATAGTTGGTACTACAGAGATATGACCATAGACACTACTTAACTGGTCTCCCCATCCCTCCCACACTCTGTATCATTCTCTCCATCTCTTTCCTGGCTCCTGTTCACAAGGACTCCATTCACCATTAGGCTGTGTCTACACTGGCACCCTTTTCCATAAGAGGGATGCTAATGAGACACTTCGGAATTGCAAATGCCGCAGGGGATTTAAATATCCCTACTTTCAAGTAGGAAGAAGGGATCTTCCGGAAAAGGGCTTATTTTCCGCAAGATCCCGTCGAGACTGGCGCTTTTCTCTGGCAAAACCCCGAGCCGGAAAAAAGCGGCAGCCATGTTAATGCAAATGCCCCGGGGGGGATTCTCATTAGCATCCCTTTTATGGAAAAGGGTGCCAGTGTAGATACAGCCTTACAGTATACAATTTCTCATGGCTGCCTTGGTACTAGTAGGGGGAAAGCATAGTGGAGCACAGCAGAGCGCTGTGCTTGGTGCCACAGTGGCCTGCAGCAGCCAGGAGAAGCAATGGAAAGAAAAGTCCTGCTCTGCTCCTGCAGTTCTGGGCAGAAGCATGGTCAGTGCAGACAGACTCTTCAGAGAATTTAGCTGTAAAACTGTAACAAGTCTCTTCTGAAGAGCAATTTTCCTAGGCTTATAATTTGGCCAAACGTGGAGATTTTTTACTGTGATGGTCAAAGGCACATCCATGATGCCAGGACAGTCCCCCATCTTCCCTGACCAAAATTCAAGTTCCTGCTCCTATGTATGGAGGTGCTAGTATTTCTTAATGAAACACTGGGGTGAAGTTTTTTAACATGAGAAATGGCCAAACTATTTAGTGAAAACATTAATAGCTTGAACTGTTCCTGTAGCAATGTGATAAGCAACTGAAAACAGGACTGCAATAATGAAAAGTGTAATAAAAGTTATAATTACTCTATGTATGTAGTCATTTGGATGCAGCTAATGTGTTTGAGAGCTTTCCAAAAGGAATGCTGTATTTAGGAGTGACTTCTATAATCAATTAGCATATTTAGATATAGTGCTTTTTTGTGACAGCCCAGAATGGCATACCATCATTTATTTTCCCAGCACACAGAAAAGGAATGGCATTTCCCCTGTGCGTACCGGCACTTGTTTTCCTGGGGTGGCTCAGCTCCTGATGGAAGCCTGCTCAGGACATGCGGATCTTAAAGGGGCTGCAGACGCATTTTGGCTCCCAGGGTGGCGTTTTTTTTTCCTTTTGCTCAACAAGGTTTTTTTTTGCTCAACAACTTTGCCCTGGAGTACTGGCACATTTCTTCTCACAAAAAAAAGCACTGTTTAGATATAACTCTTTCCATACTGCAATAAAGATGGTGAGAATGTGGTCAATCAGGCCTGCACCATAGCCAATTATTAAAGTTTGAAGATGCCAAGTACCATATTGTCTCTTCTTTTGCTGCCCACTCTTTTCCTGACAGGAAATAAGGAGAGAAGAGTGCACCCTGGAGTAGCATGTACAGTATTCAAGTGACATGCTGCAGCAGATAATATGCCACTGCTGATGTATATCTGACTCTGAGCTAGTTCCATTTTTTGGCATATCCTTACTTCAGCCGAAGTCTGAGGCCATACTTTGTAATCTTGAGGCCGTGCTTTTGATACTTATGGAGCCAGATGCATATGGAGCTAATTAGAAAGTAAAACCTCACAGTGGATTCTTTGTGGCAGACTCCTCTATTATAGTATGCGTGTTTGTTT